GGTTAAAGCGAAAACGGTAAAACGGATTGCTTCTTTTCGCGTATTTAGAGAGCAGCTTCTTCAGAGAAGGAGAGAGAGAGAGTGCGTTGAGCTTTATGAGTTGGAAAACAGTGAAATTGACAAACAATTTTAGAAACCAATAATAAGGCGGCTCATTTATAGATTGACCCACGAACGCAGCCCGTAGGGACAAGAAAGTGACTTTCAGAATTCATTGAATTTATATGGAGTGAAGGTGATCCCAGCTCGTACAAAGCTTGCCCGACAAAGCGAGAGGAAGACATCAACTCCATTAGAAGGCTCAGTAGAAAAGTTAAAAGGATCTGTCTGCACTTTATGGCTCCACTTGACTTGTTGATTCGCCTATATTATCACGCAAGTTGCAGTATAAAAATAAAATACTTATTAAATATAAAACTAAATAAATGCAAAATGAGTAATAAATAACAAAATGAAGCGGAAAGCGCGTACAATGACTCCAGCCTCTTCGGAAATGATAATATAAATATAAATTGCTCTTTTATCATCGGAAATATACAAGAGCCTCGCACTAAATCACAGCGCAAATTCTACAAACTGTAAATTGTTGTTGGTATTTTTTTTTATTTAATTTTTTTCGTAATCCATTTCCATTGTTGCCCAACGAACGTACGCTTTGAAAGAACGCCAACAATAGCAGAAAAGCAACAATTGCAGACGATAAACAATCGCAATTGTAGTTGCGCCTTTCTTTTTGTTTTTTTTTTTTTTTTTTTTTTTTTGCTTCTTCATTTGAGCAAAAAGTGACAGCTGTAAACTGTAATCCGATAACGATACACTTACAATAACAGCAACAACAATAACAATTGTAATATTAACAAAGATTGCCTGAACTGGTATTTTCATCTTGTTGGTACATAATTTATTGCAAAACACATTTTTAATCAGTTTTGGGTTGAAATAAGAAATACGAAATGAAATACATAGAGACGCTGTACGATACTCGCTGAGTGGTGTGCTTGTCTTATGCTGAGCAAATGTTGCGATTGGTCACTCAGCTGCTAATGGTTTGGGGGGCTTTAACTGACCAGCGAAGCAGACAAGCGTTCAAATTGAAGTTTATAGTTTTTTTCCCCTTTTTTTTTTGCCAATTTAATTAAAACTTTCCGAAGTTTATCAAATGTCTGTCGGCAGCTTGCAAAGTTTCATAGGAGTCTATTATTTGTTGGCGAAGATTGTGGGAGTTCGATATTGCTTGTTTATTTATATTATGCGCTATAATTTAACAGGATTTTATTAGCAATTTTAAGCGACGCTGAGTACAAGTGTATAAACTCCAAAGAACAGCGTGTGTAAAAAGTGACTGCAGTTCGCCAATTCGTATGTCCTTTTCTTTAATTTTTTGCTTTCTTGAAGCTCGTACGCATTCCTTTTTCTTTCGAGAATTCGCTGCTATGCTTATATACATATATATTTTACTCATTTTCTTTCCTCTCGAGATGCAACCTTCATTAGTCTTATAATTTTCTATATCTATGAAAAATTGTTTGGTTTAACATTATTTTCCTTTAAGTTATATTCCACTTCTGATTTTATATAATTTAACTAATTATTATTATTAATTAATTTCATTTTACAATCACTTAAATTATTAAAAGCCTTAAGTATTCACTAATCTTCTAAACTGACTCCAATAGCCTTTCATTTTCTTTTCCCCTTCTTACACTTTATCTTATAAATTAAAGCCTTAAAGGCGTCTCACTGCTTGTCTAATTAGTGAACCTCAGCAATCTTCGTTCTCGTATAAAATCTGTTTTCGAAAACACTCTTTCAAATCTCCACAAAATGTATGAAAAAACTTAGGAATTCAATAAACCAAGAAAGAGAGTTTCTTGTATATAAACCCGCTAGCTGATGAGCTCTACAAGTAATAATAATGTTATGTATGTGTTATTCCACTTCTGATTTTCTTTTACTCATTTTCAGCACAGCAATGTAATTTTTTGTAATTCTCAACAGACTAATAAAATGTTAAATTTTTCTCTCTATTCTAGATTTCCTCATACTACCAAGGCAAAATTATAACTTTATGAATATTAAGTATTTAAATAAAATTAATTTTAAACAAATCTGCACTCAATCATATTTAATAACCGAATAATTTGCGATGCCATAAACTTGCCAGAGCCATCAATCAGAGCTTAGAGCAAAACAAAGTTTCGGTAAAAAGTACGCATCAACAGCAACTTCGTGCTTAAATAACAATAACGGTAAACTGCATCTGCTGTTTAATATTTAAATAGAGCCTTTTATGTTCTATGCCTTGCGACTTCGCAAAAATCTGAAGTGGAATATAAAATAAAAGTTTGTATGTACATATATTAGTGGCAGCCATAAAAAGCACGTGTATTATCATAAAAGCATGCGTTGAGCACATCAAGAGAGGCGAGATAGAGAAGAGAGAAAAGTATTGTGGGGCAACGGAAGAAGTTCATGCAAATAAGTTTGTGAAACAATGGAAAAGCAAAAACGAAAGGAATAATATTAAGAGAAGAAAGTAAGGGCTAAGCCATACTGAAGCCATACCATAACATAGCGGCGGAAATAGCATATTAAAGTTGCGAGGGGCACAAAAGTTAAAGCTAAAGGATAAGTGACAAAACAAAAAATAAAGAACATAAATTTATGTCGGCCCATCATGAGCGCTATACAAAAGGGTATAGAGTTGTTGCTTATAACCTGCCACAGTCATATAGATATTTGATAGGGTCAGGATTGGTAGCGCGGTGTGGCTGTGTGTGAGTGAATGACGGGAAGGGAAAACGTGACAAAATGAAATTTATTTTTATTTCATTTGTATCCATTAACGACGTAAAGAAAAAAGAATAACTGGGGCGGTAGGGAAATATGGATTTTAAGTCTCTTTTTGTAAATCTATCTTAGCAGAGGTGGAAGGACACCAGGAGGTTTATAGGTTTCACAAAACTCAATAATAACTACAGCTGTGTGACCGGCGAGTTATTGAGAATTTAACTCATCCAATTAGCTTAAATCTTTTTAAACTTTTCTTGTATTATAACGTTGCAATCAGGACTGATTGTACTGATGAGTATACGGCTCGCTCTATTTAGCAACTTCCCTAGCTCTTTCTTACGGTCTATTGCCACCAAATTACTGTATGGTATATTTGAGGGTGCAATAACCGCTTTATGTCTTAAACTTTTCGTAAATTTCCTATCCAGCTGATGTCATCGGAGGAGAGCGAAAACACTTCCTTTCACACTTTTGTATATATTTTTTATTATTCCTCCACTATTTTTTTTTTTTTGCACTTTTGCCAATTTTCATCTCGTTACCCATAACTACTGTAGCAGCTTATTGTTTACGTTTATTGTTGCTATTTATGAACAATTTTAAAAAATTATGACTCTTATCCGGCACTACTGCATTGTTTTCATGGGCCGTAATTATGCGCCTAATGGGGCGGCTATTAGTGGTATTACGACAGGTGAGCAAGAAAACGCTGCAGGTGATGTTAATGTTGTTTTTTTTTAGTGTAAGTGAGTGAACAGACGCACACTGTTTATATACTTTTCATAACAATTTTGAGAGGAATTATTTTTTTTTTTCTAATTTCTAATTAATTTAGTTTTTTTTTTTATATTTTATGCAGATTAAGGTCAGGGTTCATTACATGCCAGTATTGTTGTATTTGTTATCTTTCGTAATTATTTACTATATTTTGTTGGAACAAATAACATTGTTATAACAACAAAGTTAATATTAAACATACAGCCACTTTAAATTTATCTTAAAGAAGTAAAATGAAAATTTAGAACATTGCTTTCAAAGAACTTTCAAACAAAGTATGCAAAAAGCATAAACACAAATACATATGTATCTGATTCACCATAAGCTGCACGAAAAATTAATTATTGAAAATCCTCTGCAGTATTTCGTTTTTGTTATAAAGAATTCTCCGAATCTCATACACATTTCATGATAATATGCAAATATACATTTATACACATACATGTATACGAGTAAGTAATTCATTTAAATAATTACGAAATGAGTAATTTCATTAAAATCATAAAATTTATGAGCACTCTCATCATTTATGTTTGTTTGTTTGCTAAATAAACTTAGTAATAAAGTAATTAGTTGAAGGAAAAGATTTATGAAAAAGCCTTTGGAGAATATTAAGAACTTTTTCATGCTATAATTTCGGTTCAATGTGGTAAGCACTGGAAGAAAATGTTGCTTTTCCATTTAAATTTATATACATAAATACCGAAAACATAAATAAATATATAAACAGATCAAAATAAGAAATTCCACACACGAAATATTAGCGCACCACAAAACACACGTGGACTATTAAGTGTAAGGAATCACAGTTATCGAAAATCGATAACAGATTGGTGTTATATACGGGTTCATGCTGTGTTCACACTACGCTTAAATTAATATGAGTGTATACTAAAATATATTTTTTTAGTATTTTGTATTAAACTAAAATTTGAGAATTTTTAGTAATAAATAGTTAATAAAAAAAAGTAAATAACTAAATATACAAAAAAAGAATGAATAAAATAACAGATATAAATAAAATTAAAATGAAATAAAAAAAATTATAAAATATCATAAAATAAAACAAACTAAAATGAAATAATATAACATATATTAAAATGAAAGAAGTACTTTAAATTAAAATAAAATAAAATAAAATAAAATAAAATAAAATAAAATAAAATAAAATAAAACAAAATAAAATAAAATAAAATAAAATGAAATGAAATGAAATGAAATGAAATAAATTAACATAAAAATAATGAAAATAAAATGAAGGAATAAAATAATAAAACTAAAATCAAAGATTAAATAAAATAAGAAAATAAATAAATAATTATATTAAATATAATTTATTTTTATTACATCAGCTTTATTATAATTTACTTAAATAATACTAAACTCATTTATCAAAATTCAACACAATTTTTCTCTTGTTTTTCTTGTAGTTCGTGCACACTTTTACTTTCGAAAATATTTCATATGAAGCGATGTGATAATAGTCGACACAAAGCAAAAAACGACTCGTACAAAAGCTAAGCTTACCGTTTGGTATAAAGTGAGGGCGGAAGACGGCTGGGAAGCGTAAGGAAGGAATTCTACAAATTATCGCTTTAATGCGCAACGAATCGATTTAAAAAATAAATTGTTTGACTGCTTAAAGTCAATCACGGCAATAGCCAATAAACAGCAAAAATAATAAATAAATTACAGGTAAGCGCTGTACGTAGGATAGGATATGCTATAAATAGTTAAAAAAAAAAAACAAAAAAAAAAAAACAATTGAATGATTTAAAAATGCAGTGAACGGTAGCAAAAATTATTGTGCTGCATTTGCGAACACGGACAAAGTTAAAAACTGTGCCGAAAAATGAAGGGAAGCAGATGCAAGCTTATTACACACGTATGTATGTGTGTAAATAGAATACCATTTTTCTTTTTGTTTCAATCTACAAATAACTTTTCGCTTTTTGAATTATATCGTGCATATTTTCAAAAAGTTTGTATAAAAAAATATTTCCACTATCCACACGCTCAACCGAAGCTTGTTCTTTGTGTTTCGTTTTTTGTTTGCAATCAGTCAGTTTGCTTAATTTTTTTTATGTATTTCCATCACCACCAAAACTTGTTCGATCGCCTACAATCGATTTGGGTCAATTGTAGATGAAAATAAAGTGCTTGCAATCGAAAAATTTGGTCTCTAGCGGTATTTTTACGCCTTTGAGATTATAAAACATATAAATAAATAAGTTAAATTTTTTCCATATTTTGTTGAAAATGTGTTGGAATTTCAAAATGAATTCGGCGGTGTAAATTAATAAAATTTTTGCTCTGGCGAAATTTTATATAATTACTCTTTAATTCGACTTCATCTCACTTTTATTATAATTATAATTTAAATATTAAATAAAAAATTAATATAAATTAAATAATAAATAAAAATTATATTTAGTTGTTTTAATTTTGTATTGTATTCTACTGCCAAAACTGCCAGTGGGTTAATAGGCCGACATGCCTGGGTATTTTTATCGGCTGTTTAATACGCAGAGGAATTTTGCTTTTAAATTGCCTAGGTGTTAGCAAAGAATAAGCAGTGCAAAGATGTTTTGCAGAAATAACTCATATCAAATGAGTAGATGAGGAAATGAAAAAAAAAATTAAAAAAATAAAAATACTTACAAGGCCATGGTTTATGGCAAAATTTATCGAACAGAAGTCATTCTGCTAATTTATCTGCACTTTTCATAACATTTAAGAAACAATTCTTTGTTCCAAAAGCTCATATTTTGATAAAATTAGCGTGTTTAAGCAAAAAAAGGCGAAATTTATGAACCATATGAGAATATTAATAAATATGTGGCCTACATTTAGGCAGCTAATAAAATAACCAAGTCACACACCCTGCAGCAACTCAAAAAATAGATAAACAGTTTTTAATAGCATTTTTATTATCAAACTAAAATTGATTAATTTGATTTTTCAAAGTGAAAGAAATGTAAAAACAGATAATTTAAAGCAAATAAATAAAATAAACATTTTTCAATACTTTTTCAAATGAAAATATTAAAAAAATCATTAACAATCATTAGTACATACATATCTACACCAAAAACTCACTTTCTCAAAAATAGAAAATTTTCACGATTTGTTAAAAAAATTAATATTCACTCAACGCCATCGATTTAAATTAATTTTAAAAATCGCTTAATCTCCCATGTGGAATGATATTACTTTTGTTAAGCACCCGCTGGCATATTCATTCATATTTCATATACATAAAAAATTACATGATAATACAAAAACAAAAAAAAAAAAACAAAAATAAATAAGTAAAAAAAAACACACATACATACAAAAAAGAAATCAGCTTTAATGCCAACGCTTAGCTTTAAGCCACAGAAACAGATATTGGACTGTCTCTGGCATACAGTCGGTCTCTAGGGTTACTGTAACAAGAAAGTACAAAGAATTATAATAAGAATACGAGAACAAATATATACAATATATACGTATGTGCATTTACACATATTTACTTCAGAGTTATGCATTTACAGCAACAAACAGCTTACAAACTGAAGGCCATTTTAGTCAGCAAGCCACCTTCATAATGGGCGGTGACCTCCCTGCTGACAATACAGCTGTTTTGTGTGGAGTGCAATAAACCAGGTAGCAACAATGCGTAGCATATTGTGGCGTATTTGTTTTGTTGTTTTTCCTTTATTTGCTTTTATTTATTTAGTTAAAGATTCCTGCGATTATGTGGTCCTATAATGACTGCGGCTTCTGCTATGGACTGTCACAGACAGCAACGGAAGTGAGCGGCGCTCAGCATCAGCTGTTTCTTCTTCTTAGTTTTTTTGTGGTTTTTTCCGAAAGTATTTTCTGCTGTATTCAAGTTGAGCATTTTTGTTTTGTTGAAATGTTTCAAATTAAAGAAACACTGAGTTGCTACATAAGTATTTAGTACATATACATATACACATACATACATATGCGCATAAACTTAGAAATTAAGTTAATAAAAAGCAACATAGAAATAAAATGAAAAGTTTAATGAGGCCTAAGAACACTTGAGTACACACTGGAGACATTCTTTGTGGTTGCAAAAGTGTTAAGTGCGCAGTTTTAAGAAGGTAGTAAATATGTATTACATGTATGCATACAGCTGAATTGTTTGAGAAATGAAATAATTTTTGTTATGCAGTTTCATATTATATTTTTTTCTTAATTTAATTCCATTTAGTTTGCTTAAATTCCATTTAGTTTGCTTAAATTCCATTTAGTTTGCTTAAATTTAGTTAGCTTTAAGTTAGTTTTATTTGAATATTTAATTTTATGTTTAATTTTTATTTTTTTTTTTTTTACTTTTTTAATTTTTATTTTTAATGAAATTTTTTTCTATGAAATTTTATTTTATTTAATTTTTTTTACTTTATATATTTGTTTTAAATTTAATTTAATATAAAGTTTATTTAATTTTTTTAATTTCTTATTTTATTTAAATTTTTTAATTTTCTTATTTCTTTTAGATTCTATTTTATTTTATATTTTTTACTACATATATTTTTTCAATTTAGTTTAATATAAAGTTTATTTAATTTTTTTAATTTCTTGTTTTAATTTTGCGCTTTTTAGTTTTTTGCTGGTTTCATTTGTTCGAAGTTTTATTGATTTATTTATTTTTTTATTTATAGTATTTTTTTTTAAATTTAATTTAATATAAAGTTTATTTAATTTTTTTATTATTTTATTTTATTTCAAATTTTTTATTTTTCTTATTTCTTTTAGATTCTATTTTATTTCATCTTTTTTACTTCATATATTTTTTCAATTTAATTTAATATAAAGTTTATTTAATTTTTTTAATTTCTTGTTATAATTTTGCGCTATTTAATTTTTTGCTGTTTTCATTTGTTCGAATTTTAAATGATTTATTTATTTTTTTTATTTATAATATTTTTTTAAATTTAATTTAATATAAAATTTATTTAATTTTTTTAATTTCATATTTTATTTCAATTTTTTTAATTTTCTTGTTTCTTTTAGATTATATTTTTTATATTTTCTTTATATTATTATTTTTAATTTATTTTAATAATAATTAAGTTATTTTAATTATATTATAATTTTGCTCTATTTAATTTTTTGCTATTTTAGTTTGTTCGAATTTTAATTGTTTTTGTTTTATTTATTTATTTATTTTTTTTATTTATTATTTTATTAAATTCATTATTTATTTTTTCCATTTTAATATTGAAGCCCGTAATAGCCAAGGCCTGTTCTGACCAACATCCCAAATTATAGGAAATAAATTTTTCTAATTGGGTTCGCCCTTCGGCAAGGAATGCCGAAGTCCACCGAGTGTTTTTCTAAAATTGAATGAAAATTTCGCATTAAAATCCACCATTTCGGCCGTTCGGGAGCGGCATAGATTAAATTGTAGACGGGAGGGGGTACTTAAACTTAGTAATTTTATGTTTTGTGGTAATTTTTTTTAATTTAATACAGTTTGATTATAATTAATTTTATTTAATTTTATTCCAATTTATTTTATTTGTTTTCATTTTTATATTATTTAATTCTAATTTATTTAATTCATTTATTTATTTTTTTTTTCTTAATCTTTTTTTATTTTAAATTATTTCATTTTAATTTCTTTAATTTATGATAATTTATTTTATATTATTTTATTTTAAGTTATTTTTCTTTATTTAGCGTTATTTTATTTTATTTTGGTTTATATTTCTCAAATTTGTTCGAAGACACTTAAAGGTTATTTTGTTTTAGTTTATTTAATTTAATATTATTTAACTTTGTTTATTGTATTTTATTTTATTTATTTTATATATTTTTTGATCTTTATTAATTTGGTTCGATGCAAGTTTTAGTTTATTTAATTTAACTTCATATAATTTAATATTATTTTTTATTTTATTTTATTTATTTTATTTTATATTTTTTTATTTATTTTTTTATTTATATTTATTAATTTTGCTCGATGCCATTTTAATTTATTATATTTTGGTTTATTTAACTTAATTTAATTTAATTTAATTTTATTTTATTTTAATTTCTTTTATTTATTTTTATATTTATAAATTTTGTTTTATTCCAATTTCAGTTTATTGTATTTTGGTTTATTTAATTAAATTTGGAGTTTTTTATTGCCATTTATAAAAATTTTCTCATTTCGTCCCTCCACCGTGCAGTGCTTCCTCAATCCCCAGCGGCACTTCATTAAATTTACGAAAACTTTTTAAGCAAATAGTTTTTTCGACAAATTGAAAAAGTTTACCTCCGCTGGCGCTGCACAAATTTGCAACTTAAATACTCTACCTCACACTCTTCACCAGCCAACTTTTTCCTCTTTACCGTTGTAAGCGAAGAGAGGTGTTGCGTTGCTTGTTAAAGTACTCCAACAACTTTGTTTCCCCAAAAAGGTTACCATTCTAACAAATATTGGTCGTACAAACATCTGGCAAGCATTTTTTTTAGTCCTTTTAAAGTTTTCCATTTTTTTCTTTCAAATCTTCATCTCATCATTTGCGCTTTAGTGAGTATTAACTGTGACTTTCTTGAGTATCAAGCTCAGCAAAGACATTTTCGTTCGTTACCTTTCCATTAGTCGACGCATATAAATTGCTCTTAATTTTTAGCGAAATCGTTAGCTGTCACAACGAAGGATGTCAACACTCTACCATTGGCGCGGCGCC